GAGAGGGTGGTGAGGCACTGGAACAGGTTGCCCAGAGATGTTGTAGATGCCCCATCCCTGGATGTCTTCAAGGCCAGGCTGGATGAGGCTTTGAGCAACCTGGTCTAGTGGAAGGTGTCCCTGCCCATGGCAGGGGGGTTGGAACTAGATGATCTTTAAGGTCCCTTCCAACCCTAACCATTCTGTGATTCTATGATTCTATGAAGTACGAAAGAAGAGAACGTAGTGTTGGGGCAGGAGGTGGGATTAGGAGTAGTAGAATAAGATGAGGGGGGTAGAGTTGTATTTCTGTAGAAGTCTTCAAAGTGGGCAAGTCTTTCCAGGCTACAGAAAAAACCTGACAGATTCTAATTTTTGTTAATTAGTGTACATCAGTTAGGCAGAGAAGTTTTCTTCTGCATGTTTTAGGGAGTGGCTCTTTACCAGCAGCACACCCATTTATCATACCACATCACATTTCAATTAATCCCTTCTTCCCTAATAACAAAATAATACTGGTTTGGAGTTTGTAAACACAGCAACTCCTGCTGTCAGTTTGCAAGTCCTGTGTTGGTTCTGCCTCAGTAGGTGTATCCCAGCAGAAACAAAGTGTGCTGCTCTGGAGAGGATTCAGGTTTCGACCTGAAATGTGTATGTGGTAAACCCTTGGGCGCAAAGTCATTCAGAACCAAACTCCTGTTTGTTTAAAGATAACCTCAGATTACAAAAGAATTTGGGTTTTCATAACATTCCTACAAATAATTTTCTCAACAGTTTCCATGTGAATGGATATCACCTGAATCATCTTAGAAGAGCTTAAATTGCTTGAAAACCCTCAACATGAGTGGCTCCAAACCCGATATTCTGTGGGCCCCGCACCATGTTGACAGATTTGTTGTATGCGATTCAGAACTGAGCCTTTATCACATTGACTCCACTGTAAGTTCAGAACTCAAGGCAGGGTCCTTGCGCTTATCGGAAGAAACTACAGCTACACTATTGTCAATAAATTCAGATACACCCTATATGAAGTGTGTGGCTTGGTATCCGAAGTACGATCCTGAATGTCTCCTTGCTGTTGGACAGGCCAATGGTCGAGTGGTACTTACTAGCCTCGGACAAGATCACAACTCAAAATCTAAAGATTTGATAGGCAAAGAGTTTGTTCCTAAACACGCACGGCAATGCAATACCCTAGCGTGGAACCCGCTAGACAACAACTGGCTTGCTGCCGGATTAGATAAACATCGGGCTGACTTTTCAGTATTGATTTGGGATATCAGCAGCAAATATGCCCCAGACACTGCAGTTGCTACAGAGAAAATAAGACTTTCAGCATTAGATACGGAAGCAGGAGTGGTAGTAACAAAGCCACTGTATGAATTAGGACAGAATGATGCTTGTCTCTCACTTTGTTGGCTTCCACGGGATCAGAAGCTTCTTTTAGCTGGAATGCATCGAAATCTGGCTATCTTTGATCTGAGGAACACAAGCCAAAAAATATTTGTGAACACCAAGGCTGTCCAAGGAGTGACTGTCGATCCCTATTTCCATGATCGTGTAGCTTCCTTCTATGAAGGTCAGGTTGCCATATGGGATTTAAGAAAGTTTGAAAAGCCTGTTTTGACCTTGACAGAGCAACCAAAGCCCTTAACAAAAGTCGCATGGTGTCCAACAAGAACTGGACTGTTAGCTACTTTAACAAGGGATAGTAATATCATTAGACTGTATGACATGCAGCATACACCCACCCCTATTGGAGATGAAACTGAGCCAACAATAATTGAAAGAAGTGTCCAACCATGTGAAAACTACATCGCTTCATTCGCCTGGCATCCCACAAGTCAAAATCGAATGGTAGTAGTGACTCCAAACAGGACTATGTCTGACTTCACAGTTTTCGAAAGAATTTCTCTTGCATGGAGTCCAGTGACATCTTTAATGTGGGCTTGTGGACGACATTTATATGAGTGTACAGAAGAAGGAAAAGCTAGTTCCTTGGAAAAAGACATAGCAACCAAAATGCGGCTCAGAGCTCTGTCAAGGTATGGTCTCGACACTGAGCAAGTTTGGAGAAATCACCTCCTAGCTGGGAACGAAGATCCTCAGCTGAAATCGCTTTGGTACACTCTGCATTATATCCTTTATTTTACTGTAGTTTATATCCTAAAGAGGGAATATACCTTTATATGTAAACCAGTTATATGAAATGCATGAAAGTCTTCAAATGCAATGCAACATCCTGTGAATACTTTGCATATGTTAACAGGATATGACTTATAAGCTAATTTTTTTTTTCAAACACTTGGGGAAAAATTAAGCTTCCTATACATGAAAATACTTATGAAGCAATATACTGAAGATATGGATCAAAAACTTACAGGAAACAAAGGTCCCTTAGTTTATGCTGGCATTAAATCAATTGTGAAGTCATCTTTGGGTAAGAATGTTCCAACTTTGATAAGTTCTATTGTGGTATGTTTACAGAATGATGCACTCATGGTCTTGTCTTTAAAAATCATCGAAAGAGGCTATTTAAAAATATAGAAACAAAGTATTTCTGTTTGTGTTTTAATATGTCTAAGTTAAAGAGTTTATATTACAGTAATTTCCAGAATTTTCATTGTTTTTGGAAGGTCAATAATCATGAAACCACAATACCATGAGAGGTCAATCTTCAACTGAACTATTTCAAACATTTGTGGTTTGACTATCGCGCTGAAAACTCTTACTCCCCACGTAACTGCTATGTTTTTCAAAGTTCCACATAGTGGTGTAGTTCTAAGAAAGTGACTTTACTGTAGGCACTGCTGATGTACTAAGTACATTTGTATAGCTATGTTTAAATAAGCTGCCCTCTTCTGAAGTGGTAATCACACCTGGTGCATCACATTATGCCTTATACTCAGTGAAGTTTTCTTAGTATAATCCATTATTTGAGTCTTTCCTTTTCTGTTCATTATGTGTCTTATTAATATTTATGCTCATTGGAGCAAAAGATAACTCGAGTGGTGGCAAAGCTTCTAGAACACATTGCTAAGAAGAGCAGAACTGGTAAAGCAGATGCTTGACTGTGTATTATGGATTTTGAAATTGAACATACTTATCACTTCTGCCAACTGTGTAACAAGAACATCCAAAATCTTAGGAAGTAGAGGGAAGAAAAAAGACGTAGCGGGGAAGATGTGTCAAGTTCAGATGCATGATTTTTAGCAGATCAAAATAATTTGTGTATGCTGTTCCTTACCAAGGAATTACTAGATAAGTTAAAGCAGTAAAATATGATACTCTGCTTTATGATTGAAATCAAAGCATTGTTATTGCAATTTAAATTGTGATTCAAGCATAATTTAACTTATTTCCCATTTCTAGGAACAACAGAGAACCTCAGGCACAGCAGGAGTGGATCTGATAGACAAGCAGATATTATTCAGTATCTGAGTGAGGAGAGATCCTTGGCTTTGCAGCTCTGTGGGTGGATAAAGAAGGGAACTGACTTAGATGTGGAGCCTTTTTTAAATTCATTGGAACAGGAAGGAGACTGGGAGAGAGCTGCTGCTGTTGCACTTTTCAACCTGGACATACGGCGAGCAATACAAATTCTGAATAAAGGGGCTTCCTCAGGAAAAGGTGTGCATTGTGTTTAGTATCTTTTATTTTGGCATTAATACCCTTAGTAGATTTTTTTTCTGTAAACATAATTATGGAAGATAGTATGGAAAAGATGATTGTTGTCTTATAAAATAGTTACTTGAAGTGGTTGTATTTGAACCGAGAATCTGGCAAATCCTGATCTTTCACTCCTCAGACTACCATATGCCTTACTGTCTAGTAAAAATAGATATTGCGTTTCAGAATTTCCTGTTGATACATAGACCAGAAAGTGTTACATTCAGAACCAGTGGGATTCTTTTATTTGAATGGAATTGCTTCTTGGCTAGGCATCATGTACATCTGCTTCCGTCAGGCTGTATGCAGCTTTCCACCAGTGTGGTGGCTGTGGAGTAACTGACATGTATTATTCAGGGTCTGCAGAAAACATGTATTTCAGAGTAATATTTGATAAGAATTGCAGTGTATGAGGGAAAAGTTAAGATACTGGAGCCAGGAGATGGAGCTATTTTTGTTCTGTTTTCCTGCCAGTATTCCCCCTACAACACCGATTCACATCTGTGAAGACTGTTTTGCCACTAAAGTGGGTAGGTAAGACATGAAGGGAGATGCCAAGGTTCTTTTCTGTTTAATATTACCCCTTTTTGGTGGGGGAGGTGTGTGTGTGCTTTCTGTAGGGAAGGTTCAGAGTGGAGACACGCTATCTTCAAATTCAAAGACTAAATTGAGCTTTCTGACAGAATGTTTAGATAAAATAGACAATGTTTTTTAGGAGACTTGTTAACTTCCGACGCTATATGCAACTGTCATCCTCCAGCTCGGTCTGTTAAGTGATGGTTATATATATAATCCTCTCTCTTCACTTCTTGTGGATATGAATTATAGTAATGACAGTCTTTTATCATAGCAATAAGAGCACATGTAGCAGTTCAAAACTGTTTCAAAATACCAGAACCAGTCAGATGTTGCTTAAGGTGTAACTCAGGCTGGCCATGCATGCGGGCTTGTGACTTTTAGAGCTGTTAACTTACCTGAACAGAGGCGTTTAAAGCAGAAACTGAAAATACTTGTGTATGCACGTTTATTTCAGCTAGTCTTTACTGTATTTTGTCTTGCATCCCGACAAAATCTTCTGTTTCAAACCGATTCCTTCAATTATAGTTCAAGTACATAACTTGAATATTGTTTCATTGATTGTTTTTAATAAATTAGGTGATCTGAACCTTAATGTAGTAGCAATGGCTCTATCAGGCTACACAGATGAGAAGAACTCACTTTGGAGAGAAATGTGCAGTACTCTGCGGCTGCAGCTGAACAATCCCTACTTGTGTGCTATGTTTGCTTTCCTGACAAGTGAGTCTGGTTCTTATGATGGTGTTTTGGTGAGTAAATTTCTCTTACATTAAAATTCTTCTAAGTAATAGGTGCATATATATATGCACATATGTAGGAGAAGGGCTATATACTCCATTAAATAATCAGATTAGAATGTATTAGTTTCTTCTGATTCTGGCAGATACCAATGTTTTTCTTTCAAACAGTTATGTCCTATTAGAGAACATTACGTTAGTGAACAGAGCATATAAAGACAGGCCAAAATAGCCAGTATAGTTCACACGGGATTTTTTCTTTATGTGTGGAATTCTTAAACCATTAGAAATACAGTATCAAAATAATTTGAGCAGGAAGACAAAGGGAGAGAGGTTAATAATGGAAACACACAAAACAGAGTTAAGTGCAGGGGAGTTCACAGAACTTTTCGTTAAGTTTTATTTGCAGTGAATTGTATTTTATTTTTCCTTGTTTACTTGTTCAAATAATTTACTGTGTTGAAATAAGGAAACATTAGTTTTGCATCTAAACCTTGGATGGTTGAGATACTTTGAGCCTTTAAAGGGGTAACATCCTTGGTTAGAGAACAGCAGAA